GTGTGTGCAGGAAGGACAGGGGGGACTAGCCACTGGGGTAGTAGAAGCCAGTTGACTTTGACTTTAAAGATTAAGTTGGCATTTTCCAGTGAATCAAAGTAGAGAACATCCTATGGAAAGTTTGAGACCTAGAAACTGGGTGTCGTTTCATTTGTCTAAAACTGTGCAAAGGGAGAGTCCCAAGGGACAAGGCTATCCACAGCCCATATTAGAGCCACACATGGGGTTGCCAGACTTAGGAAATAAAAACACAGGACACACAGTTGAATTTCGGATAAACAACAAGTCACTTTTCCTTTTAGTGTAAGTATGTCCCATGCAATATTGAGAACACAGGATGATACAGATGTGAGTTTGATCTGCAGGTTTATTGCCTCTGTGCCTTTAGAACTTGATTTTTCTCAACCTCAGCATCTTCATCCTTAAAATGGGAATAATAACAAGTATCTTTCAAGGTCTTAGTGAATATTGACTATGAGTTCTAGGGTCACTGTAGCTCCCAAATAAACAAGTCATTGATAAAACGGAAGGAGCACGAAACCACGTCATGAAGCTGTCTTGAATCTTGAAGCATGAGTTAGAAGAGTTCATCCCTCGAGGGAGGGACACTCCAGGCATGAAGGAACATGAGCACTGACACTGAAATGTTTAAAAAATAATAAAAATAGGGCACAAGCAAGAAAGGGTGAGCAGGTACATGAAATACTGGGCAGGAAGTGACAAAGACACATAATGAAGAGAAAAGGTAGTGTCTTCGAGCGACAAAGTGAGAGGTTGCTTCCAAAAGGATGTTGCGCCTAGAGTGAACCATGATACTTAAATTCACACCATCCATCCATTTTGTTTTATGAATGGGGCTGGTCACTTTCAGTGACTGAAAATCCTTTATTCCCCATGCGGAGCACCTCTTTCTTCCAAGTTATCGTGGAAACTGAATCAATTTAAGGGAGATTTTTGCCCACTGACCCCCCAACTCCCACTCAGACTCCTGTTTCCTGTTGACCCAGAGGTCTGCACTATTGATTTATAAGTGTTAATCCAGTCTTGGTAACCAAAGAGCCATTCTAATACCCATAGCTCAGTGCCTGAGATCATGAGGGTGGCTGAGCTCTCTGAACTAAGGGCTTGGGGAGGAATAATATTTATTCTTTGGATAAAAGCCATCAAATAAAGGTAAAATAACATTTGGGACTTGTTTTATTTCTGTTACTACAAATTCTCTACTTCTATCCTTCTCTTGACTTCCTTTCCCACACGGCCGGTCTGTGGTCCTCACTCTCCAGCCCTGCTCTCGGAATCCATTTGGGCTATTGGGCCTTTGGGATGACTCTGTTTGCCATGGCAGCACCAGGAGTTGGGAGGACCTCGCTTTCCTTGCTGGTGTTTCGTAGCTTTAAGGTCTGGGCAGTTCTCTCCTACAAGCTAACTAGCATTCCTGTCAAGGAGACACCTTTAATCTTCTGTCGATTCTTCCCCAACAGTTATGTCTGATTTCCCCTTTGGCTAGAGCTAGCTTTTGCAGAAGTTTTAGTTACCCCATTAGGAACTTTAGAATTGGGGGGATTTAGGTTGACCGGCAGCAAACTGCTTGGCCAAATCTAACGAAGTGGTGTTGGCGCCACCTGGTGGTACTTGTCAGCTCTGACTTAAATGCCAACAGAGTCCCTCGGTTCCGAACCAGTTGGAGTTTATCGGGTAGAGGAAGCCGCTCCTGGTACGGTCCTGTTAGTGGGAACCTTGCTGCCTTTGATCTCATCGCTTGTGAGAAACTTACATAAATGATCTGCAAACTTTGACACCGAAAGTGTGCTGATCTTTCGACAATTACCTGCTCAGAAGGCCTTCATTTTCTGAAGCACAAACCAGAGATTTTTCAGATGCGGACACTGACATAAGTAATCCCCCAGACCCACAGGTGCACACTCTTCTTTTAAACCTGGGTAGTCTGATGACAAAGTCCCGGCTCTTCCAAGGACACGGCATTGTCTCTTAATACGGTGCTGGGCTAAGGTGTGTGCTCACACAGTGGAAGGAGAAGGGGTATGGGGGAAGCACAGTTTCTGCACTTTCCAAGGAGGGAGGAGACAGACAATTACTACCCATAACGTCTAGGCTGGTGCTTCTCAAACTGAATGTGCCTACAAATCGCCTGGGGGCTCTTGATAAATTGTAGATTCCGATCAATAGTTCTGAAGACAGCCCTGACCTTCTGCATTTTTAACCAGCTCCTAGGTGACGCTGACCTGCGTGTCTACAGACCACACGTTAGTCTGGAGGAGGCTTGAGCTATGGTTTTGAGCAGGGAGCAATTTCACATACCCCGCCCCCCCACACACACACCCACCCCTCCCCACCCCCCCACCGAGGGCATTTGGCAAAGCCAGGCTTTTTGGTGTCTCTACTGGGGTGAGGGGACCGTGCTACTGGCATTGGTAAATAGAGGCTGGGGTGTTGCTAGCACCCTCTGATACCACGGCAGCCTTCGCCACAGAGAATTACTTGCCCAAATGTCAATTGTGCATAGGCTGGGAAGTCCTGCCCTGAATCTAGAATCTAGTCTTGTGTGAGGGGCCCGTGGGCTGTGAGCAGCTGAGGTCCCCTCACCTGGAGGGGGTTTGCTGGGAAATTGGTGTGAACTGGTTTCTTTTGTTTCTGAAAAGAAACAATTCAGTCCTAGAAAGCCCCCATGTATATTTCAGAGGCAAATGAAGGGCAAGTGAACCCAGTGGGACTTGCGAGTATGAGCCGTGATTAGGAGTGTCTCCATTCAGTCAAGGACTTAGCCACACAAAATCAATGAGCCCCTCGGTCTGGGAAATGCTTTCCTTCCCAGCTCCGGTAGGACCAAAACAACAATGAAAAGAAACGTCTTCCTAATGTGATTTATCCCCCAGGAGCTCTTGATGATAAAATTATTACCATAAACCTAGACTAGGGGGTCAGCAAACTTTTTCTGTAAAGGGTCGGATAGTAAACATTTTAGGCTTTGCAGGTTTTATGGTCTACGTCACAAATACTCAACTTTGCCAGTGTAGCCCAGAAGCACCCAGAGACCATGGTAAAGAAATGGGGAGGCTGCATTCATTCCAGAAGTACTTTATTTACAGAAATAGCCCCATGTCAGATGGCTGGAGGCTACAGTTTGATGATCTCCGGTCTGGGCGCTCAAGGGAATCGGATCAGCTTTAGATCCTGCGTTAGCTGTGACATAAGCAAGTGCATTTTTATCTGCCCTCCTTTGGTTTTACGGGCGTGAGGAGAGGGTGGCTAATGCCGTAAAACAGGCAACAAAACCAAAATGGTTTCGTGCCTGACCTCATCACTGTGGAAACAACCAATGGCACAATCCCATAATTCTAGTATCTCCCTCTGACAACGCAAGTTCTCAAATTTATCACCAAACATTAATGAGCCAAATGTGCTTGGCATTACTGGGAGCTGCAGGGAACCCAAAAAAGGAAAGTCACAGTCCACTGTTCTTAAGCATTTTTTTTGTTGTTGTTGTTATGGTAATAAGACATAAACACATAATCACAGCACATTCAAACGCCCATAGATAGATAATTTATTAAAAGCGCATGTGACACTTAGCGCATTAGGGAAAAATGGAACCTGTATACTTTCTTCTGTTACCAAATAAATTCCAGTTGGTTCCAATACTTAAATGTAAACAAAGTGAAATCATTGGTGCTAGAAGTAAACACAGGATGGGTATACATTGTTTATAATCATGGGGTTGGGAGAAATTTTCTATTGAGAACGGGAACTCAGAATCCACAAGGAAAAGATCACATAAAGATAAAAAGCAGCTATGTGAGAAAGTCTGCCATAAACAAGATCAAAAAGAACTGGATAATTATTTTAATACAAAGAGTGAATTACTCAACTTTGTGAACTCATAAAAATCAATAAGAGATGATGAATACCATAACAGAAAAGTGATAATTTATTGAAGAACACATTGCCAATTAATCTTATGCATCTGAGTAGATGTGAAGAAAATAAAGAAAAAAAAATCCTGACCAAAATCAATTGAGATTCATCACCTAGGGACAGGTCAGCTGCAGTCTTGGCTCCTTGGATCGCGGTGCCCTCCCGCTGCTCCTGAGGATGGCTGTCCAGGAACCCACGCTGAGAAAGGCCACATGGAGCCCCTCCAGGCTCAGCTGGGTCCACCTTGGGCCATTCTGGTCCAGGAGTCAGATAAGAGACTGAAGAAGCCTCTGGATGATCCCAGCTCCCAGCTGTTCAAGTCACTCCCAGCCTTTCGGGTCTCCCAGCTGAGTCCCCAGACGTCAGGGAGCAGAGACAAGCTGTGGTCACTGTGCACTTTCTGGAATCCTTACCCACAGACACCATGAGCACAAAAAAGCCTGGATTGTTCTATGCCACCTATGAATTTTGGCTGGTTGGTTAGATAGCAGCAGGGAAACACTGTGCACCACAAACAAGGCAGCCAGGGGTTGACACAGGATGGAAGCCATACTGGGAATGGTCTTGGAGACCGAACAGAACACAGCAGCTCACCCAGCTATGACCCAGCATGACGACAAGCTTAGATGCTGGATTCCAGAGCAGGCACGGAAATGGATAAGGCTGAGAGCAGGAGCACCAGCCCCGGGCACCGGCAGTTAGGTGGCTGTCCAGGGCCAACCACCTCTCATCAAGGTCAGAGTCAGTCCTGGGTCGTAGATTCATTCAGGAAGAATATTCATCCCTCAAGGTGAAGCAACAGGATGTGTCTGAAGAACAAGCATGGCAGGCACTGTTTTCTTTGGCAGATGGCAAAGAGGACTCGATGAATGGGTGTTAGAGGAAGTGAGTAGAGTGGTAGAGTGGGCAAGCCGGGCAGGGAAAGGACAGCCGAGGGCAGGAGAGAGGGCAGGCTGGCTGCCTGGGAGTTAGGAAGCTGATGCCCAGAGTGAGCAAAGGACACAGGCCAGCTCCGTGACGTGGGGGGGGGGGGGGGGGGGGGGGGGAGGATCACACCTTCCCTGAGCCTCTTTCTCCAGTTAGAATGCTTCTCCTTTCCTACTTAGCAACCTTAAAACAAACTCCAAACACCTTAGCAAAGTTGACCCTGTAGACCTGGCCCCTGCTTAACTTCTCTCCCCTTCCCCGCTGCCTCCGCCCAGAATCCTCTCCGTTTGTCAGGCTCACATGTTTGGATCTGCCCGGCCACCTTCCCTCCCTGGCATGCTCAGCCTCCACCACTGGCTCGTGGTCATCCTTCGGGTCCAAGTGAAAGTTCTTCCCTCCCAGAAGCTCTCTCTGGCCATCCTGCTGAAAGGATTAAATCTTTGAATCACCTTCTGTTTTGTTTTATTTTTCTTTATTGTACTTATAAGCATCTAAACTCGTCTCGAATATTGTCTTTTCTCCCTCCCTGGAATTGAAGTGACTCCTGAGGGCTGGGACCTTTCCTGTCTTGGTTAATGTTGTATTTCCACGACCTAGAATAGTGCTTACCATTTAGTAAGTGCTCAGTAAATGTATGTTGAGTATAAATAGGTAAAAATCCTTTCGAGACAAACTCCTATCCATGCTTCAAAACCCTGCTCAAGCTGAACACCCTGCAAAGCCTTCCCCGACAAATATGCTGGTACTTTGTGCCGCAGCTTCTAAACAAAACACCCACCATCATTCATTTGCCAAGCTCTCCTGCGCACCCCACTTTGCAGGTCTCCCCATGGGCTAAATTGGTGAACGTGGGCTCTGTAACTCAAGCAGCCAGCTGGATCTCTCAGAGTAACCTCATCAGAAGGGGTTCTCGCAGAGAATGAGGACTGCGGGCAGCGTCCAAAGCCAGACTCCCTGGGCTCCCATGCCAGCAGACCTTGTTGTGTGAGTTTGGAAAATATTTTTGACCTTGCTGGGCCTCCACTTCCTCATTGTGTAATGAAGATCACAATAATTAGCCATAGAGGGTTGTGATGAGCACACGGGGTGCCTGGCACATAGCAAACATGCACAGGAGTTAAGTGACTTTGTATTGAACAGTTGAATCTTTGGCATAAATCTGTACTGCATAAGTACACACAACAGAATCGAAGAGGAAATAAGCAAATTGAGCGAACGCTGTGGAAATACAACGGTCATCTCTGTAACAATACAGAGAAGGACCCCCGCCTCCAGATGAGCCGGTTCACACCGGCTCCACATGGGGGCTCCACAGGGACCCGTCCACAGCCCGAGGTTCCCTATGACCGAGCACACGTGGGACTCCTCCCCACACGGGGGTGAAATCAAACTCCCCAAGGGCCTGACGCTCCCACCACAGAAGACACGTAAAATCCATCTCCAGCTCACCGCACAAAACCATCACACAAGCTCACCATTTCTTACTCAGAAAAGACTTAGTATGTCCAGAGTTCCCAAGAGCCAGCCCACTGTCTTAGAGCACACAGAGCATGGGGCCCCATAAAGATACAGGGGCGGCCAGGCCTTCCTGTCCTGGGGAGTGCCGATCACTGAGGGGCAGCCCTGTTCCCTGGACCGCCTGCCACACACACAGGAGGCAGTCTGTCCCTCCACAGGTTAGAGGACTGGCTCTTGACACGCACTAGAGAGTATGGCAGGGTCCGAGCTGACCCCGAGCAGCCAAACATCTCCTGGGAGGCGTAGGTCACATACACAAAGCCGTCCTCGTCCTTGTAGTCCCTGTAGACTTCTGCCATGGTCACACTCATGCTGACGAGGCTCCTGTTGTTCACCAGCAAATAAAAGGCTTCGGTGGCCCCGAGGACCAGGCGGCTCCTGGGTGGGGAGGAGTGAGGGGGCAGGAAGGGAAAACTTTAACTGGGCAGGGAATGGGCCCCTGACCCAAGGCCTGACTCACCTCTGTTTGTCCACTGCAAACATGTTGACCCAAGGAGCCCACCTCCCCGCTCGAGCGCATTGCCCTCAAACTTGACAAGTCCCCAGGAGGGCCTGATGAAAGCAGATGCCTGCACTCCACACACACAGATTCTTTTAAAGATTTTATGTATTTATTTATTGGAGAGAGAGAGTGTGTGTACAAGCAGGGGGAGGGGCAGAGGGACAAGCAGACTCCCTGCTGAGCACAGAGCTTGACATGGGGCTCGATCTCAGGTCCCTGAGATCATTATCTGAGCCAAAGTCAGACGCTTAGCTTAACCAACTGAGCGCCCCCAGGCACTCCTCGACACCCAGAGATTCTGATTCAGCTTGCCTGGGAAGCATCTCACAGGGCTGCAGAATCATGATGCTCAGGAAGACTGAATAGCTCCCTACTCCTTCCCTGTAGATTTAAAATACCTTAAGTCCTCCCGGTTGGACCAAAATGGTCAGGCCATCCCATCATTAACTAGGAGACATACCAACACAAAAATGCTACACTAATAAGCCCCTCTTTGCTCTCAAACGCAAGGTATGTACATCGCAGACATACAAAGGAGATTCCAGTATCTCCCAGCATCTCACTGTTCAACAGCCTTGGGATGGCATTTTGGAAGGTTGTTTCTCTTTCTTTCTTTCTTTCTTTCTTTCTTTCTTTCTTTCTTTCTTTCTTTTTCTTTCTTTCTTTCTTTCTTTCTTTCTTTCTTTCTTCTTTCTTTCTCTCTCTCTTTCTTTCTCTCTTTCTCTCTTTCTCTCTTTCTTTCTTTCTTTCTTTCTTTCTTTCTTTCTTTCTTTCTTTCTTTCTTTCTTTCTTTCTTTCTTTCTTTCTTTCTTTCTTTCTTTCAGCTCCTGAGCAATGGGTAGCTGCTCTTTCCTCTCCCTACCATCCCTCCTCCCATCTCAAGGAGATGGAGAAGCAGCAAAGTTCAATTGGACATGCTGTAAATATCAAGGTCAATCTGAGGCCTGACTCCTCCTGCGGTGGAGGACAACATGGCCATGTGGACCCCCAGGTAAGGGCTATTTCCCTGCAGCATACTTCCATTTGCTCTGCTTGGAAAGACAGGCCCAGCCTGCCCACTCTGGTCTCAGAGCTTTGAACTTTCAGGTGAGCTAGGTCTATGTGGCTATGGGACACAGGTGGCTGGAAACCGATTAATTTTACAACCAGATAATCCCTCCCAAAGTAACCCCAAAGATTTCGGCTTTGACAATTGCATGGGTGTTTTGGGGTAAAAGAAGTGCTCTACAGTGGGAGTGGGTGGAGCTGAGGACAAGTGCATGGCCTTCAGCTCTGCAGGGAACTCTGTTCCCAGAGTCTGCATGCCCACCTCCTATCTCTTGCCGTGCTCTCTTTTTTCTTTAAGACTTATTTATATATTTGAGAGAGAGAGAGAGAGCATAAGCAAGAGGGGCAGAGGGAGAGGGAGAGAGAATCCCCAAGCAGACCCCACATCGAGAATGGAGCCCAGCACAGTGCTCGATCTCACAACCCTGAGATCACAAACTGAACTGAAACCAAGAGTTGGACACTTAACTGATGGCACCACCCAGCTGGCCTGCCATGCTCTCTTTCAATGAGGGTTTTGGCATTCCCTGGAGAAGGAGGCTATGGGCAGGGATTTTTGTCTGTTCTGTTCACTGCTGTAAAAGACAGAGCCTAGAAAGAACAGAAAACATAACTGATGCTCAATAAACATCCTGGAGCATCAAATGTTGAGATGGGGAGGTGGTCAGGACTGGTGGAAAAGAGAGGATGACCCCTGTCTGGGAAGGAGAAAAAGAATGGCTCTCAGAACTCCAAGGGTTGTTTCCCAGGGAGGTGGGGGAAGGGGTATAATCCTAACACTCATGTTCCCTTAGCCACCTCCACCTCACTCTGGGCCAACATAAGCTTCCCTGAGGAGAGGAAATCGGGATGTTCTTAAATAACTCGTCAAGAGAAACAGAACAGAGACAGACACACTCATAATGAATTCTTGAGTAAACAAGCAGCTATGCAACTCGAGAGGGCTGGCCTCTCCAGACTTTTCAACCCTACGAAGAATTACCCCCCAGGGGTTACATTCACATTACTCCCAAATCATTTTTACTGAAGCCATGTGTCGGGTGACACTACTTAACCCTATTAAGCTTTAAAAATAGCTCCATTTTCTTTGCTGTGCCTTAACCCAAGGGAGGACCATGTGTGGGGACGCCCTCCCTATCCTCCCTCCCAGGGTCTGAGCAGTGCAGGGGGCATTTGCCTTTTGAAGAGGTGCCCACTCCCCCAGTGCACACACACTTTAAAGGTACTGTGTTTCTACTGGGAAAATGCAGACTGGGTTTCAAGCAGCATGTGGAAAAAAGGATCTTCTGGACTAGTTCCAGAGCCAAGATGACCTCTGAAACTTCTTAGAAAAGTTGGCAGCTCTTATTCTCTTTAAACTTGTTATCTGTGGGTTCTCCCACCTGTTTAAGTTAGATTAATTCTCAGAGCATCTTTTCTGGGCACTACAGAATCTAAAAGGTGAGTCACAAAGGAAATCTTTTCTCTCTCTTCCAGAATGCCCCCATCCTCAAAACCAAACCAACTAACAAAGCAAACGGAAAAAAGCCCAGCATGCTCCCTGACGTGCACTTTGTCTCCTACCGGATGACGCTGAGGAATTGGGTCATGGTCAGCTCCTGTGGGACCAGGAACTTGGTCTTGTCCAGCGGAGGCAGGAACTTCTCCCTGGGGTAGCGTTCCACTATCACCTGTCAAGAGGGTCAGTCCCTAAGAATGTGATTCCGAGCTCTCCGTATCTTAGAAATTTAGAATAGGGAGAGACTCGGTTTTTTTCCCCTTCTTCTTGTTATTTTATTTTATTTTTCAAGGAACAGAGTATACTCCTTTTCTTCTTTTTCTTTTCTTTTTTTTTTTTTTTTAAGATTTTATTTATTTATTTGACAGAGAGAGACACAGCAAGAGAGGGAACACAAGCGGGGGGAGTGGGAGAGGGAGAAGCAGGCTTCCCGCAGAGCAGGGAGCCCTACGTGGGGCTCGATCCCAGGACCCTGGGACCGTGACCTGAGCCGAAGGCAGACGCCCAACGACTGAGCTACCCAGGTGCCCCAGGGTATACTCCTTTTCAAAAAGCACAATGAAGTCTTACCGGGATCTTGTTTGGGAACTTTGCCCGGATTCCAGCAACTTCCTCTTGTCTGGTTGCTGTGAATATTTCAAAGACAAAAGAATAAGTAAACAGCAAGAGAAGTCTGTACCCTCTTCCCTCTCTCAGGCAGTCCAGACAGCTTCCCTTAGAATTCTACCTAAGCTCTTCCTCTGCTTGAAGGGTCTGAGGCTTTGGGTTTTCTGTGGAGTCTGCATTTTGCTCAACAGCTGTGTCTGTCTCTGACTTAAAAAAAAATCCCACAACCGGGACCTAACTCATTCCTCAGCTGCTTCCAAACCGCCCACAGGAACCTAAAGGAGGCCCTTATGTAGGGCTGTGTGACATCAGGCCTCTCCAACCCTCCCTCTCCTCCCCCTCCCTGGGCAGGAGGAGGTCAGTCCCGAGGATGGAGAGAGAACAGCCACCTGCTTGCTGCTCAGGCAAAGTCACTTTGCTCACAATCAGTTCAGGCTATTTCTTTGCTGGAGAAATTAGGGTTCACAATAAAATCAGTGGCTGCGTCATCAAACAGCCTACATCTGGGCTGAGGACTCTGGAGAGGCCAAACAGCGGGTTCGCTAGGAACAATCTTGCGCTTCAGAAAGGAACCATCTTGAAGGTGGGTCAGGACGGAGCTGCCGGCCCTGAACTGGGCTGCGTTACTCCCACAACGGTCCTTGCCAGTTTTCATAGAGAGAAACCTATGATCAGAAAGGTAAAGGGATTTGCCCAAAGTCACACAGCCAGTAAGAGAGGGGGTTGGGATTAAAACTCCGATCTGGTGCCAAGTAGGGCACAGTCCAGTATATGCTGCCATTTTATCTTCTCTGCCGTAAAGGGGGGGAAGGAAGCCCAGTGACCCCCAAGATCTCCCTTCGAGAGATAAGAAACAGAGGCCCATAGGGGCTAACTGGTTTGCCTGGGATCCAATGGTTGGTAGGAGGCAAGACACAGATCTCCCAGGTCCCAGCGTCCATGGTTTGCTTCCAGACACATACGCACATCCAGGCAGACCTCTTCACTCCGAGTGAGCAGAGGGGTCACATTTCCCAGCAGAGTACCTCAACAGTGAAGTCTTCAAAGGGACATAAAGGGACATAAAGGAAGGTGATGGTACATTCTGTACGTTTGCTTCATGAATCCGAGTGTGAATCTCAGCGCTTTGGTTAATCATCAGGAATGGACATCGAGTGATTAAATGATAGCATCACTGACAAGTGGCCTCATCCTCTGTCCTTGGACATCCTCTGTCTTTAGAAAGGACACGTGTGTTCATGGGGCTGAGATAATAAGGAGCAAGTGTGGACTGCACGTCTGTAGTCAAGCAGCTTTCAAATGCACAACCTCATTTAAGCCCCAGTTGCCTTGTGGGTTGGAAGGGCAGGTAGGATGCACATCCTGTAGATGCACACTCAGCCAGGGTGCACTGAGGTGGGGGGCCACGCCAGGCCGTCCAGTTCCCAGGAGTGGGCCTAGCACCCAGGACCTGCAAAGCTGGCTCCACTCCTGGCCCTCAATTTCTGATCTTAGATAAATCACTTCATGTTACTAACTATGGTTTTCCTTGTTCCAAAATGATTACTTTTACCTGATTAAAATGGTTTGTTTTGCCTAACGTGGAGTGGTTAAGTGGGAGTTGAGTGAACTCATTTATGTGAAGCAGCTGGTGCAGGGCCTGGCACCAAGTCCGATGCCCTCCCTGCACCGGGCCTCCCCAAAGGCCCCACAGTCCGGGAACGTGGACGGGCATTGAGGTTTGAAGGCTGAAGGAAATAGCTCTGGGTTAGGGCCAGGAGAAAATAAGTCCCAGCTGCAGTGTTTGGTCCGTCATTATTAGGGCTTTGAGATGTTTCCTAACTGCGCTGCATTTGGCTTTCTTGGCTGCCACCTGGGATTAGCTCAGCCAGGCCTACCTCTCAGGATATAATGGGGGTGAAGGCGGTAATAGAACAAGGGACTTGGGGAAAAAATAAAATATGGCAATACTCATAGAATATCTTGTCATTCAGCAAGAGAGTGGCAGAGATCATTTTTCTTTTGTGGAAAAGCTTCTTTTTCGAGGGGAGCAGGGTGTCCGTGGGTGCTGTGTGGCCCCATCTTGCTCCTCAGGCCAAGGGGCAGGACCAGTCATCTGGAAGGTGACCAAAGCCATATAACATCGATGCCACAAGGACTGTGGGGAAGGAGATGGGAACAGCACCATGGTAAATGGCTGGAGTAAGAGCCTCGGCTTGATTCGGGGTCCTGGCTACTGATTTTAGTAAGCAAAGCCCAGCTTTATTCTTCTTAGAGCTTTCCCTGTCCCACAGGCAAAGCATGTGAAAGATGAGCTGGCTGAGCTCATGCTGATTCGCACCCACTGGGCCCTGCTCCATCTCCTCCAACCTGGGGCCTAGGCAGGGGTCCTGGGACTAGAGAAAGCTGGTCAAATGAGATGTTGGGTGGTGCCAGCAATGGGGATTAGGAAGACTCATTTCTCTCCACCTGTAAACATGCCTGTGTCCCACCTTCTTAAAATAGGAACAAGTCAACCTTCCCTTGACTCTACCAGACATGTGAATGTCATGGAAAGAACAATTTTGAAAATAGGCTTGGGTCCCAGATCTTCCTGACAAGTATGTTACTTCTTTGAGCTTCATGCTATTCATTGGCCAAGTGAGTATGCTTTTGCTCGTCTCCTAGGGTTGTGTGACGATGAAATGTGGGGAGCTCTGGGATGTCCGTGTACACGTGAGATGGCACAGTGGGGGCTCAGGGAACACGGATTCTCTTACTACTCACCTCCTGTGTAGCCTCTAGCCGGGCCCGCTCACACTTCCTGAACCTTCCACAAGAGTTGCCCGAGCTCATTCTTTCCACTGAGCTCACTGCCTGTCTTCTCCTTCAGCTGCAGTCTGGAGTTTGTCCCAACACCAGTGCGTGCTCTTGGGAGGTCAGCACTAACACATACAAGCACCTCTCTTTAGTCCTTATTTTATTTGATCTTTGATCCATCAGCGTGTGGAATTGTGCATTTTCTCCTTCTGAAAAGTCTCATCTTTTGGGTTCCTTGGGATTCTTCTCCCTTTTGTCCCCCCACCCAAACTCTGAAGCTGACAGTTCTCCTTAAGGCTGCTAAGGAGATAAGTGGACTATCCATTATCCATAATAAATCCACATTTACTTATGTGAATAAAAACTTTCACAAAACATCTCTATATTTCTTGATCTGTAGCTGTCTGTGGCCTGCATCGAGTGCGTGCAAGCCTATGGAACAGCAGAATCCTTGCTGCGCACATTGAGCTTAAGTGAGGCCCCCCCCGCCCAAGGCCTGGGATAACCATGCTCCCAACCCCATTGCTGCCCTAAGCCCCTGCTGTGTACAAGGCTTAGAGCCACCAAGAGCTCCTGCACCCTGATCTTGACATTCCTCCAGTCCCACCCCAGTCCTCATCTCGCTTTATATGCTTTCCTGGGATGACTTTAATCATTCCTGAGGGGGGGCCCTCAGGTGACTCAGTTTCTTTAATGTGATTAAGAGCAGGCCTGTCCCCTGGCAAATGTAGATGTGTAGGGCTTACAGAGGGACTAGGACAGACCCACGTTGCTTTCCCATCCTGTCCTATTGTGGCTGTGTCATTCATCCTTCCTGGCTACAAGCTTTTATTCCTGGGAAACAGGTATAGGAAGGCGCTGGAGCAGGTGGGAGGGCTTGATGGAAGGAAGCCTCCCTCCATCAGTGTGTACATTTCCAAGAGGAGAGGTTCTGGAAGCCTGATTCCTCCAGGGAACTTTGCCTGCACTTGGTGGCTTCATGGTGGCCGTGGGGGAGACAGGAGCTGTGTGTCGAAGGGGGGCTCCTACTGCTGCAAACACCCAAGACTTCCCGTCCTAGATAAGACTCACTCAGGATGGGAACGCGATGCTCACATCTGCAAGGTAGAAAGCTGAAGTTCAAACTTTATTTCATTCTATTTTATTTTCTTCATCAAGTGCCTTTTAGGATGCTGCTTACCAATGAGACTTGTGTATCTGATCAACGTGGATGAATACACTTTATTCTGAGTCAGACCATCAATGAAAATAGAAGCTTCTGGTCCCAGTCCCAAGTTAGCCATGGAATGATGACATCACTTGAGCTCAGAATCTTCTTAGTTAGCCTGCGAAATCATTTTAATGCTGGAACATAGCTATCCTGTCCCCAAGACAAAAGTAACCCCCAGTAGCCACGAAACAAGGGCAAAACCTTGCCTATCTGTGTAGGCCCAGTACTTAACACAGAGACTGCCATATAGTTCATGCTCTATAAAGTTAATTGCATTTCTCTGCGTGCAAACCGCCAACACAGAAGAGTGCCCAGTCACACAGTGGTGTTGCCTGAAGCATTGCATGCAGGGAAGGCAAACTCATATCCAGACCATGTATTGGTTACAGTCAGATGAATCGCAGCTTCTTCCAGCAGTGAAATGAGGCCAATGGCATCTATGGCCACTGGGTGACTCACTGGCTGGTGAGTTGGAATTCATGCTGCTGGGCCCGTGCCTTGCCTCCATCCCATGGATTTGCCCCCGTGGATATTCCTTCACACACTCATCATTTTAACCCTGGGGAAAGTGGGTGTTGGTGGCCAATGTGAACAGGTTAACTGTCCAAATCATTCTGTGTCCCTGGCTGTTGATTGCCTCCTTGTGGTAGCTCTCTGGTGGCATTTACATGTGTTATAAAGATCTCCACACTTTGCATCTGCACCCATAGGTGCATCCTCATGCCTCTTTCCTAGATGTCCCTGTCCCCATTCTTCAGGTTTTCTTCTTACAGCCCCTGACTCATCAGCCAAGACATTTGCCGCTGCCCAGGAGTCTATAGAACGACTGGGCATACTGCCCGAAGCTCTGCCTAGTGGCAGGAGTGCCCCCTACCACTGACTTCAGGGCCATGTGAATGGGGCTGTAGGGTATGTCAGTTCACACCATATACCGAGCCTACACATCTGTGAATGAAGTATAGCCTTTTCCTTCCTCTGTCAGCTGATTGTAAGCGATCCTCCCCAACAATGGCCATCAGAGTGAATGAAGGAAGGACATGGGTACAACAGTGGTGAGTTACAAGGGGGTCTGGGCTACCTGCTAATGCAGCTTACTGGGCCCTTGGCTCTGTGTATCTTATCCTAAATGTACCCCTTCAGTTTTAATTAATTAATTAATGTTGTTGCTTATTTAAGGATTTTACTTATTTATTTGAGGAGGGAGAGGGACAAGCTGACTCCATGCTGAACGCAGAGCCTGATGTG